TGATAGGCCGCCAGCCAACTGTTGAGTGCAGGCGCCTGGACACACCACGTACCACTTAGAGGGACAGTCGGTTTCACCAGGGGAGGGCTAATTGTCACGGCGCCTTGTGCACCATCTTGAATCGGGGTGCGCACACCGGGTGCCTGGGTTTGACGATGTGACGGTGTCCTAGTTAGAGTGGATACACGCTGCGGTGGAGCTCGTAGGGAAGCGATTGTTTGATTGATGGCATGAATTCGACTCTCGGTGATCAGTCGGACTTGATCGAAACTATACGAGGACGGAGAAATAATAAAAGTATTATTGTTAACTATTCGGATTTCAATATCCATGGAAGTATATCACAAGTGTTTTTAATCAGTGATGTGGGTTAAACCATTAAACCAAAAGTAGCCGGACAAATAAAACATCCATTTATTTACTCATAAAGTCTACATTTTACTTGTTTTCCTTGTGCCTAACCTTGGATCGCGCAAATAATGAGACAATTAAACAATTAACCAATCAATCTGTCAATCAAGAATCTAATCAAACAATCAGATAAACATTCAGTCAGTCGGTCAATCAANCAATCAAACTAACATTTACCTAAGCTAAACGATAGCACCCCTATTCAACGAAGTTCAGTTCTGGCATAATGCGTTTACGGATTATTTTTTTATTGTGAGTGTTTTTAGCGGTGCTGGTAAATCGGTAAAGGTCACCGAACGATCGCCTCGGAGAAGGTGTGTTTGAATTCCACCAACACCAACACCGCCTGACTTGTCCGATTCTCTTTGTACTGCACAACAGTTTTTTGAGTGACCGCTTCCACATTCCTGTAAAGTCTATCATTATATATTGAATAAATGAAAGGTAAACAAAAGATCAAAGATTTTTTGCAAAAAAAAAGTGGAACAAGTTAGTAGAATAAAAACGAATATGCTTAAGAAGGTTCTGGACTGAAAGTAAAACGTTTATGCACTCTTTAAATAGTCCTCATAATGTCCGTCTCAATGGTATTTTTTCCGTTTATCTAATATACTTCGAAGTGGAAGAAATTTGCCCGTGTGTGCACGGAGCACATCATCGTCCACATTCCAGACATTGTGTGAATGTGTGTGTATGTGTGTGTGCGTGTGTGTGTGTGTGTGTGTGTGTGCGAGCGTTCGTTTCCGAGGGCACAATCGTAAAGACAAATGTCGAACTGTTGTCTCCGTATTTGTGTTTAGACTACAGTCAGTATTGTATCACGCTATCTGTTGATTAGGACGGAAGCGGGGATTCAATCCGATCGCGAAATAATTTTCTAAAGTTTCGTTGTTTTATTTTACATTCATGCAGCTGACCAAGACCGCGCTACATCTCTGTGTGATAAAAAGCATATTCTCTCTAACTCTCTTCCTATCCAGAAAAACTCACTCGTTACGCAATGCTGTCTGTTGCGTAATAACTCCCGGATCGATGGTGACCGCTGAATCGCGAAACTGTACAAGCTGTCGGTCCAGATTATTAAGCAACACAGTCAACGGTTCACAAGCCTCGTAGAATGACTGAAAGCAAAAAAAAAGAATGCACAACTGATTTGAAAAAGGCGGACGGGGGCGGCTGGAAATTTACCCCTACTAACCGATATCATTTTCATTAGTGAATCAAACACTTCCTTGACCAAACCCCACACAGGAAGATTGGTATCAGGACTCTCCGAAATACGTCTGTGTTCCCGAGGGAATATATTTGAGTTCAACCGCTTATCAGTGATTGAACGGGGGCATATGAGGAACTGGACAGCTGATCAGAAAAAACGCATACTATTGATGCGGTTAATCGATAAATCAATGTAAGATAAGATTTGAACAAACTGATTTTCCTCCCAAAACGGAAGAAGTGATGAATACGTATTTTTTTTTTATGTCACGTAACCAAGAAAGCAACATAAAATTACAAAAATAATTTCTCATAGTTTTCTTATTTGTGTGTTCTGGAAATCCTTCCCATTCTCGGTGTTCAGAGAGTACTCACAAATTGCCAAATTAGATAGATATTACCATTCAGAAAGTTTAGTCCCGAAAAACATACATAAATGAAGATATATGGATGACAAATAGTGAGGAATGGATATAACCACGTCGAAGATCATACAGAGGGTGGGAATCGCTTGTCCATGATCTTTTGAACAGTGAAGATCAATTTAGAGTATCAAGCTCGGATCAACCCATTCGATTGTTCAGAGGCACCAGACACCAAGACCATCAAGAGTGACTGGTGTCTCTGAACAATCGAATGGGCAAATTCTAGCTTGAGAGTAAAAAAAATTGATTGAGCCATTCGCACACAAGGTGATGACCGTCGACTGTGCCCTCGGGAGGGGGGAGGGTAAGGGTTTGAAGTCCCGACCCGACGATTTGCGGTTCGAGTCCTGACAGGGACACAAAAAGAACGCATTACTGACGAGTTCAAAACAGAACGAAGCCGCTCTGTCCAGCTCTCTTTGTCGGTTATCACAAAAATTTCCATCGCATCGGAACAGTAAAGATCAACCATTTGATTGGCCGTCAACGACAGCGGGAATGCAAGTGGTGTTTGTCAAAGACAGCATTCGCGCAACGCGCCAGCAACTGAATAAGGTTTAAGAATAATCAGTCTTTAAACAAACAAAAAACAATTCCCTTCCATGTGGTTTGGAGACTAATGTTTCACTTTGGTTGACACTAATGGAAGTCGTGGTGAATGGTGTGTATGTGATGCCCGTACTTTGTGTTTCAGTTGGTGAAACAATCCTGAATACAGGACTTATACAGTACCGGTCCATATGCGTTCTCATGAGTGAGCCCCCTACCTTCCTCCACTCCCAACCGGCATTAAAGAAGACTTGGTGGTTCATTGGTTGTAGCAAATGCGCACGAGTGTCTGTGACGGGAACAGCTGAACGAAAATAATTTGGTATCACATGTCCCGACCAGTTGTACCCACTTCATGTCCAGATTCGGTGACTGTTCCGTGCCTGTTCGCGAAACCAACAATTTTGCGTTACGGTATCGACAGCTCCCGTGGCTCAACGGGGGAGTCACGCGTTATGACGTTCTTTTTTGTTGTTGCGTTTATCAGAGTCCTTCTGATGATCAGTAAGTGGGTGATTGAGAATCTTCAAAGTGAACTAGGACAAATACCGGTAATTAGGATTTGGCCGCGTTTGCTGATCGATGGATATCTCGAATACTACTGGTATCACAGATCACAAATGCACCGAGGACATAACGCAAAATGATAAATTCACCTAAAGAGCATCACTTTTTCAAATGGCAATTCGTCAATGAAGCATGAACTGAAAAGCTAGAAAGCAGTGTATAGCTTTTTCGACCTGGTTTGGTCTCATCAGCTACAGCGCGAATCCATCATCACAACTGGGGATAGAACCCGGTACCTCAAAGGCAGAACGCAAGCACGCTACCCACTAGATCACCCCGGAGCAGCTGATCAGACCGTTTTTCATGTTCCATCACTTTTTCCATTGACTGGAATGAAATCCTAACTTGCAACCGACTCTAAGGCTAAATTGTATTTCTTAGAAAGAATTCGTCGTGTATGGTGTAAATAAAGCTAGGTACAGCTGTTGCGATCGGGTTGGGTTTCCTCCGTGCAGTGCAAAATGGAATCGAATCCTCCTACGCTCTCATGCAACACAATTTATTCGGTTGTGAAAGTTTCTAGCCGAAGCTAGTGTTGCTAAGATAAGCGAGGACCGATATCCGTAACAATCTCGTATAGATGAGTTGTGAAATATCGTGTAAATGGAAAATGAGAAACGGTCTGATCAGCTACCCGGTGGCCGCGTAGGTAGTATGCTTGCGTTGTATCTGTGAGGTCCCGGGTTCGATCCACAGTTGGGTCGATTGATTCGTACTGCGGTCGATAAGACCCAACCAGGTCGAAACAGCCATCCACTGCTTCCTAGCTTTTCAGTTAGCGCTTCATTCGCTCTATACAGGACGAATTTCAACTATACTCTCGCGTAGATTGTATTTATTTTAATACAGCCAACGGCTCAAACTCCCAAATGCACTATAGAACACCCGAACTGGTTCCAACTCCGCTTTTCGTTTACCAGTTCACCTGTAGCTGCGATGACTTGTCCAGTGGCTGAACGGACTGATTTTTCGTCCACTGAGTGTCAGACACGGCTGACGACGCCACCCGCGATGGGAACCACCGGAAACTCAACCTCTTCGACCGTGAAATACATTCCGGCAATAGGTCACAAGTTTGATATGACCTCACTGGCGTCATTCAGAACTGAATCTGTCGTGCATGAGAGAACCCTTGTTCATCATGATTCACATGCCACTACTACTACTACTACACTGTGGACAGAGAAGTGATTCCAAACAGGTGCTTTTCGTGACAGTTGCGTAATTCGAATGTTCTTTTCCCCGACCCACTATCCTGTTGTTGTTGTTGTTGTTGTTGTTGTTGTTGCACATTTATACACA